ACATATATGACCCTTTGATCTTTGACCTGATGACCCTAAAATCTACTCAGTTCATTGGCTCTGCAAGATGTCCTGAGTTAAATAGTAATCCATCTGTCATTTCTAATGAGAATGCGTTCACAAGTTATTTTTGGATACATAATGAGCCCATGACCTTTGACCTCATGACCATGAATCTACTCAGTTCATTGGCTCTGCAAGATACATACATGATCAAAATTTGGCAGGAATCCATCAATCTGTTCTAATGAGAATGCGATCACAAGCTATTTTTGCATACATAATGAGCCCTGTGACCTTTGACCTTTGACCTCGTGACCCCAAAATCTATTCAGTTCATCGGCTGTGCAAGATACATACATGACCAAAGTTTGGCAGGAATCCATCGATCGGTTCTTGAGATAATGCGATCACGAGCTCTTTTTGCATACCTAATGAGCCCTGTGACCTGTGACCTTTGACCTTGTGACCCCAAAATCTAATCAGTTCATCGGCTCTGCAAGATACATACAAGACCAAAGTTTGGCAGGAATCCATCAATCGGTTCTTCAGATAACGCGATCACGAGCTGTTTTTGCATACATAATGAGCCCTGTGACCTTTGACCTTTGACCTCGTGACCCCAAAATCTAATCAGTTCATCGGCTCTGCAAGTAACATACATGACCAAAGTTTGGCAGGAATCCATCAATCGGTTCTTCAGATAACGCGATCACGAGAACGGGACGTACGGACGGACGGACGGACGTACGGACGTACGGACGTACGGACGGACGGACGGACGGACAACCCGAAAACATAATGCCTCCGGCTACTTCGTAACGGAGGCATAAAAACTAAATTATAACGATTGTTTCAGCATGCCAGCAGTTCAAAATTGTGATGTATGTTTAACATTTTAACACTGAAGTGCTCACTTATTTTGGGTAACTTATATATCCCATCATACTGTATTTCAACGTCCCAAAATGTATTGTGATGTTTTGTATAAATATGCTGGTCCACTATTAATTTTTTTTTTAAATGTGAAATCTGATAGAGAAATAGACAAGGGAAACCCCTTCACACATGTTCTTGAGTTTTGTTTTTCTTTCCATTTTCGTGTACCTTCGTACCATTCTCTTTCCATACTTCATGAAAACTTATAGATTTTATTAGGAGAAAGAAAGAGAGAAAACAAATGTTTCAAATATCTTTTCTAATAACATCAACAGAAATCAATATATGGGTAGGATGTAAAAATCAATTGAATGGTTTCACGAATCACGGAAGCCTGTCCCTTGCATGAGTGAGTTATAACTTATACCTGGCCTGGTTGGGATGGGGCAATGGTCTGGTCTGACAAGCCTTGCAGCTTTGTTGACATAATGCAGCCATCATGTCAAGTTGGAATGCCTTCTCAGGAAGTAGGAGAGGGCGGGGTGGGGTAGGTACCATGCCAAACCAAGATGGCTCAACCTCTCCTATCACTTATCACACTCATTAAATCCAAAATATCCCATCCATTCTCTCTCTTAATGGTTGCTTTATTTGTTTGTCTCCATTACGTGTTTCAATTAAGAGTGCTTTCCAACTCAGACGTTATAAATGAACTATGATGAGGTAATACCTAAATCATATTTTACTACCCAATTGAAAATCATTCCATTCTATAAAGCTTTCTTAACTTTATCTTCCTATAGTCCTTGGACAATATGTTATATCATCAAGACTTTCTCTTTTAGCATATCACTCCCACCACACTGGTAGTATTTCTGCTGTCATTTGTCTCCCTCCAGCTTGCAAGTTCACAGGGGTGCTATTACTCTCTGCTCATCATAGCCACCCGAACTCTCACTTTTTGAACCTACAACACCCCCCCCCCCCTGCTCTCCCCACCACAGAATTGTCCCTTGCCCCATTCTTAACATCCTTGCTCATCTTATGACACCCTTCCTCTTCTATATGCTTCTAATTCATGTGTTAAAAAATACTGTCATTTCTTGTTGGTGTTCTCTCTCTCTCTCTCACCTCATCCCCATCCCCTTCTCTCCCCTTTCTCTCCTTCCCTGCCTCTTTCTCCTCCACTCTATCTTCTTCTTTCTATCTTCATCCATCTATCTGTCGATCCATGGCTCTCATTAGACATCACAAACCATGATCATGAGCGACTCTCCTTAGACATTATCTGCCTTTCATCTTAGACGGGAGGAATTCCCAGTGGCCCGGCACGGGATTCCTCCTCAAAGCTTAATTCGCTGCCAGGAAAGAGTCCCCGGCGGGTTGGAACGCCGAAGATGCCGTCACATTCACCGGTGTCATCTGTTCAGGATGTCAAAGTTGTAAGCAGAGGGCAGCACAGGGGCGACGGGCCAGAAAGGGGCTTACTTATGAGGATTTGCTTAACGACACCGCTAAACATCAAATATCTCAGACATTGGACAAACTATCGAGGATTTGCTAAACGACACTGCTAAATAGCTCAGACAGTAGTGATTTTGAAAACTAATCATGGATACAAACTTCCATTGAAAAGTTCATACGATGATCAATTTAAAGAAACCTCCAACAATAATAGAAATTAACACAACAAACAAACAAATAAACCAACCAATACATTCAGAGACAACCAAAAGTGAAACTGCACACCAGAAGAAGGATGGTAGAGGGTTTAGATGATGAAGATTTTAGCGTGGAGTTTGGATGAGTAATGGTCTATTATCTAGAGGAATCCATGCCCAGTGGGTGGGTTTCTGAGAAGTAAAGTCTAAACGGAAAGCGTCTGTCTTCATCTCCCGATTGGATGTGGCAAAAAGACAAACAGCATAACTTAATCTATAATAGTAAATTGTGCATGGTGATTAAAGATAAATTTCCAATCATTAAATTTCTTATCATGTTTGGCTCCTTATATTTGATGCATCTACAAAGTAATGTGAACATTGAAAATAAAATAACATTTCCAGTGTACTAGACTAGTAGTTCAACAAGAAGAGAAGGGAGATTAAAATGAGAAAATTAGTATCACACCTAAATTACGTTCTTCACAGCATCATTAAATTGAAAAATTGGCTTATATATAAAACAAATGAATGAAATATGTATTTCAAATCAAGAGGGATCTGCATCAACAGTAAGTTTCCTACTGAGATATTGAACCCCACCCCTTCAAGTTTATTTATTCGTCACAAAACAACTAGATATCTGCAACATTAAACAAAGATCTGTTATTTAGGTATATTATGATTATACTGATAACTTATAAGCAGTTTGTGATGTACACAATGTACATAAGACCATGACATGGGAGACAGTCTGGCCTCTAGTAGCAGTCAAGAGGAAGAGAGAGGGAGGTTGAAAGGGAATACTCTAAAGGTTATCGTCCTGCTAACATGATAGACCAGCAGCTTAGCGCTAGCTGCTAGCTGTCTTGATTGTAATCTCTGATCTTCTAATAGCTAACATGCTCACACTCTAACGACCAAGATGTCACCTTAATTGCATGCAAATTAAGATCAAGGTCATTGCCTTCTACGAGGAGTTAGCGACCAATGCTAACTGGAAACGTCTCTTGTCAATTGTCTGATGCAGCTTCATGGAGAACCACACAGATGACTGAACAATGTTTCTGGTTATTATTTCATTCATTGCAAAAGCTTCGGAAAACAGCAAGGTACATCATGGAAAAACAATTGGGTGAACAGGCATTCAATATAGATAGGGATGAATGTCCAGTCATATAGAATGTCCAGTCATATAGCATGATGGGGATGTACAAATACATGACATCTACATTGCCAAAACATCTCCTTAATATATTCCCTATTTTAAACTAATAAATAGCCCTAGGATAACTTAATTAAACACAATTTCAAACATCCATATGAAAATTAAGCATTCACTTACAGATTCACTTATACATTATAGATGGTATCATGCTGCTCTCTCACAAAAAAACAATATTAAAAAAAAAAAAAAAAACAAGGATAGGGTGAATGGTTTAGCATTCTAATTTTCAGCACCGATACTGTAGCCAAACTCACTCCGTATTTGACTGATTTAATTTGTATGTATTAGACATGGTTGATTATTCCCGACAATCACCATACTCGTTCGGTCGGACCAGAGCTCTCATAATTGCATGACTAATACCACTAGCTTCACCCCAATACCAATCAATCCAACCAACAAGCTGAAACTCATTTAAAACCAAACTACTTCTGACTCCAGGCTACAAGGCAAACAATCATCTTGACACCCCTTCCCAAACAAAAACCAAATGTGATCAAATTGAAAAAATTACCAAAAAGTAACACAGGCTAACTTTTTCTACTCATTCTAACAATGATTTATATCTCACATCTACACTAAATTGTCCTATTCGCTTATACAAGGAGACTGGCTAAAAGTCAGTCACTTGTAGGTGCTTCTAATTCACTCATAGGGCATTGGTTAAGAGTTGGTATGAAGCTACAGACAATAAATCAGAGAGTTATTCTTGATTGGCTGACCACACTGAAGCATATTTTAGATCAGTGGAGCCACTATTAGCACCAGCCTTGGTGCTGTGGTCTTCATAACATCATTCATAGCCATTTCATGGTCGAGTTTTCATAGAACATTTCAAGGGAAAAATTAAATACAATGTGGTATAAAAGTGACATTCCTCATCTTTCTCAGAATTATGATAACCATTTGATCTCATTAGCACACACAAGTCATATCTAATTAATATACAAGGACCCTATATTAACTTGTGATGAAATGTCATGCCTCATGGGCCAGGTTAATTACTGAATAGTAGATTCACCACCAGTACCACCAACCTTCACTGTATTTGCTAATGAATAGTGTTTCAATAATCACAAGTTATACAAGCTCTTCAATTTAAATAAACATGAGGAAGGACACTAAAATAGAAAAAGGTAATATAAGAGAGAGAGAGACAGAGGAAAAAGGAAGAGATGATGTAAGCTGGCAATACAAAGACAAACTTTACATTTTTTGTACGTTGTACTTACCACACTGACTGGACTAGGAGCAGCAGAGTCCACACTGAGAATAGAATCATCTCCATCAAGAGACACGTTAGCAGTGTCAGATATGACCTCGGTTTTGACCTTCTTCCAACCTTCCTTCTAGAAACGGAAGGGGAAAAAAGACAAAAATAGACATAAAGATTGAGGCATTGATGGGGTTCATTTGGAGAGTGAAAGGAACAGGGAAGGATGGAAATGAGAGAGAGAGGGAAAGGGTGACAGGAGAGAGATAGATAGGAAAAGAGAGGAAAGGAGTCTATCAAGAGAGACACGGAACAAAGAGAAAGTTGTAAAATTGTATTTCGGTAACAAATCTTAAAAGTCTTGGTCAACTAGGCAAGTTTCCAGGAATTTAGCATGTCACAAAGAAATATTCATTTTTTTCAATTGTTTGATATCTGATAGCAATTTACATGTTTGTATGAAGACTTACCACACTTTCTCCATCTTTATCTCTCTTGCGTTTTCTTTCTTTGCTTTGAGGTCTGTCATCTGGGCTCTTCTTCTCAGATTGCTTCATCCGAACTGGAAGAGAATTTAAAAAAACTACATTATAGGCTTCGCGTGAAGTGGTTAGCAAAGTAATCATTCCGTATTCATTACACACTGAATTGTGGTATTCACTAAATTAATCTTTCCAAGCTTGACATAGCCCTCAAATAAAGCGTGAGAGCCCGAAGTCAGATAATAGGCTAATAGGCACATTCAAATATATGAATATCAAGAAGGCGACCCCCCTCTTAATCTAAATCTGACTTACACTTCATTTCAATGTCCTCATCATCAAGAAGGAGTGAGACAACTTCTTTGGGTTTGAGTTGCTCCAGCTTGAAGTGTCCACCAGATATCACCATCCTCTGGATCTGAAATGATAAAATGTTTACAAAAACATTTGTTTGATAGTCCAAAAGTCTGTATTCTAACCCCTTTTCATGACTTTGCAGTTATTCTATTCACAACCTAACTCTAAGCAGGTGTAAGTTGTATCAATCAATAGAGGAAATCTGTTTGCCTGTATTGCACATGAGACCGTATCGAATTAAAGCAGAAGTAAAAAGTAATAAACTTTTGATGTTTTCAATATGGTGTACTTTCAAAATCTTTGTAAGATGTAGCTTGGTCAAATATCCAATGGTCACCCAAAGTCAATCCATATATTGATACAAGAGAAAGGTAGAGCACATAACAGAGAGATAGGGGGAGGGAGAGAGAAGAAAGAGACAGAGACACAGACAGGGAGAAATATTGAGTGCCATGTGTTTTCATTTGATATCAACATCTGAAACAGGCCGACATAACTAAGCATGTCCTCTGCCTAATCATTGAATTATTTTTAGCAAAACGACTTTCGCAGGGAAGGCAGCCTAAACTCACAGTTAGCAACAAGTTGATACCGCTACGCAACAAAATATTTTCTACACCTCTAGCTGATTATCACATCAGCTTTGGCATTCTAAAATTGGAAGGCTGATCCACATCAAAACGGGAGACCCTCCCACTTAACACTCCCGCCCAGTCCCACATGTGAACCAGCTTTTAATCAATTGGATTTCCCCTCATCCCCGTTCATCGCCAGCCCCAGACTCGACCCCAAAAATGCAGAAAAGTGGGCAAATTTGAGGCTCGCACCACGACGCTGTCATCAGTAATCTACAGTGACGCGTTCCCCCCTCGCACCATTCTGGAGCCCATCCATGAGTTTGCTATTTTTTACTCAATCATATTTACCTTCTGACTGGCATGCTTTGAGTTTGTAACCAAGCCAAGTTGAAAGTGTGTGATTAAAAACATCATGACTGTGTCATTCCTGCTTACTATAGAGCCCCCTGGATAAGGTCAATACACTTTTTATTGTCTTCCAATACATTGCTATTAAAGGCCAGCAATGATTTTCACACCTCACTACTTTAATACGGCCAAATCAATATTCATAAATATAGCTTCAGAAGGCATTAGATTTCTAAAAAATTTGGCAAGCAATCAATAAAATTTAACAGAATTATTAACAAGTTTTGGGGGCTTATGACCGTGATTTAAAGATAAAGACCAGTTATGGTCGTGCGATTGCATTGTGAAAGAAACGTTGTGAAATCGATCAGAAAAAGTTGATCATCTAGCATAGATGTACTGCAAAGTTCTGGAATCATCAAAATGATAAGAAATTTGGCCCAATCTTCATAAAGTTACAAGCTTTGGGGGCTTATGACCGTGATTTAAAGATAAAGACCAGTTATGGTCGTGCGATTGCATTGTGAAAGAAACGTTGTGAAATCGATCAGAAAAAGTTGATCATCTAGCATAAATGTACTGCAAAGTTCTGGAATCATCAAAATGATAAGAAATTTGGCCCAATCTTCATAAAGTTACAAGCACTTTACACAGAAAGATGTATATGGGACCACGCACACGTGCGCGACACATGCGTTTTTATCTCTCACACACCAATAGATAAACTAATTTACCAAATATATCAATTAGTAGGCGGTTTCCCGGCAAATTTGTTATCATCATGTATTATTCAAAACATATTCTTTCACATGACTGGTAATAAGAGCTTCCATTTCATTTTTTGAAATTGGGGCGTTTCCAATACTGGTCTTTACCTTTAAACAAAAAAAATAAGACTCCCTACCACATAGCATATTATTTTGTTTTCAACAAGATTTTACATGCAGGGCAGTACTAAACAAGTGCTAAATTTCTTAATATTTTAAATAAACATTAAAGCTATTTACTTTAGGATATATTATGTTCTGTAATTTGTCTTCATTGGCTCTAATGCATCAACAGATATATGATATTAGGGCCTACCCCCTCGCTTTGCCATTATCCTAACTTCTAGTTCACACTGTCAATTCAGGATTTACAATGATGAAATAAAAATATCACTCCTAATTTGAGTATGATCCACGAAGAATCCATACATTGTAAGAGATCACCTTATGATGTATCTATGAGAGACAGGATAATGTCTGTCGTCACTCCACATGACTATGAGAGCATGACAAAGCAGTGACAAGGGAAAGCCTAGGAGTCAAGGGACTGGTCAACGTGGAATTCACCTTCAGAGCTATTCTCTATTTAACCCCCTTACTACCGAATTCCTTCTTTCCAATAGACTTGACACAAGAATCACCTGCGCATGGTGGAAAACGGGTTTACCCTGATGCTTGTAGGCTTTAAAGAGGGCTAATTGTCTATCATTCTATCAGTCTATCAAGTTCAAAATAAATCTCGAGAAGCTTACCCTACATATGTCAAAATGCAAGTTGTAAGACAAACCCTCCTTGATTCTTGTCTCTTATCCCCTTTCACTATCCCTTCACTCAGTTTATCAACCTAAAAGACATTTTTTTCTTCAGTACACTTTCCAAAATCCTGTGTGTTTTTTACACTCACCTTCCTTAAATTTTTAGAATTATTTAGAATTATTAAGAATCTAGAAAAGGATAATGGTTACCCTCATTTACAAAATCTGCCCCCTCTACAAGTTATTATTCTATGGATAAAGCGTATTTACAAGAATTCATGAATTTCCTTCCCTTTTCAAAAATTGCTTATTGATAGTGGGTAGTCTCTTCATTCACAGGACAGGAAAAGAGAAGTGACAGATGACAAATGATGAGATCTGATCTCATAGCGGCCATTCTTGATCTCTACTCAACCAGTGAAGAGTGGATGTATCACAGTAGGAGGTTAGTTTTTAAAGCTAATCATTCCAGCACTCCTCCAGGCATCCCCATGTTTACCAGGCTCAAAAGCTCGGTCATTGATGAAGTCCAACATTCATCCCGTTTCTTTTGCACCTTTCTCCTATCGCCCTGCGGTCCTTTCCAACGGTCAAATTGCTACCGCTTCTTTGATCTCTAGCTATCCCGGCTCGCGTCATCGACCTGGTCGGCTTCTGGTGACCTCTGAACTTGTGTTGTTTCAGAAAACAATGTGACTTCTCTTCTCCAGAGTGGAGGATTACCAATCTTCTGCCATACTGCCACTCATCTACGACACATCTCAACAAAATATTCTCAAGATGATGGCTCCACTCCCAAATCAACACCTTCTCTACAACACATTTTTTCCTTGACCCCTATAGCGAAGAAGTGATCGTCATTTATAGGTACATTCTAAAATTATTTTCTTAAGTAAATAGATAAACTATAATTGGTAAGAGAGTAAGGAAGGCAGCCTAGGGACATCTCATGCCTCTTGTTTCGCTTTCCATTTTTTCATAGAATTTCATAACATTTCTAGAAAGTGCTTTGCCACTTCCTCACTTACTCGTGACTTCAAGTGGATACCCTTTGAGCCATTTCTTTAAAGGAATTGTTGGACTTTTTGATGAGCAGTATTGATATATAACTACCAAACTTACCATTCAGATGGTAGAAATTGATTTTATTTATTTTTGCCAAATATACAAACCATCACATACAAAGAGAAGGACAATATATTACTGGAGGGGAAAAATGCACTGGATTGAATTTTATGATTGAATGAAGACATTAAAATGAATGCTTGAGACTGAAAGCATGATAACTTGCTAACTTTAAAACATAAATCTACTACATACTGTTCACAAAAACAGACACAACCAATTAGATGATTCATTTGGATAGCACTGAGAAAGCTTGATAGTGTTGGAGTAAGGCTCATTCTACAGATTTCCATCGACTGTTAGCCACAAGCCAAGCTGACCTGTCATAATTGCCATCTACTCTAAAAACCATCATTAATCACAAGATATTTAGGTCATCCTTGATTCAGCACATAACTGATCAAAGTTTTGAACAGGCACGACAAGTTTAACCTAATACGGACATAGTGCGTAAGCTCTTCTAATAATAAATAAAAAGAGGGAATTCCTCAACCTGGAGATGGCGCCCATGTAAATTGCTGGAGAGACATCACGTTTAACACAAAGTGCTAATGCTATGCTCTGTATCTCATTCTTCAAATGATTCTTCCTTTCCTATCTAAGATCTATATTTTTTGAAGACCATCTTCATGAGTTATTATGATCCATTCCATACAACTACATGTACATGTATGTACTGCATAAAATGACCTAATTTGGTGGAAAACATCTTTCATTCTCACAGCCAGTATCTCCCATTCCCCTTTTTTCCATTAGTTTATATTATGACCACAACTTTATTTAATTTAATTGTTTTCTATTGAAGAGGCCCTGGAAAATAAATTTAAACATATATGATTCCTATACAAAAAGAAAAAAAAGACTACAGGTACTTCTATAAAAACATTTAGGATTGCAAAAGTGGACCATAGACGCACTGTAAACTAGGAGAAAAGAGGGTAATTTGTTACCTTTACCTTCGCAAATTGAGAACTAATTCAATTATGGAATGCCTGTAACATATCAGTGATAGTTTCTTTCTTGATCTCACAGTGGTATCCCACTATGTAGTCCAAGCTGAGCTAATTGCAAGCACAACACTCTCAAACAGCCAATTGGATTTCGGTTTCAATTTCGTGTCAGCTTTCATGCTGCGCTGTTTTCTGCACCACAGGGTAGGGAGTCCCCCATAACAACATGTAGGCTAGGCTGTGAGTGAGTGAGGGCATGTATAAACTGGGACAAGTCAAAGGGGCTCTTCACAAAATAGCACTTTTCTGAAAGCTCTCTGAGCCATCTAAAACTAAATGAAAATAATGTATTTTTCTTCCTTGGCTTCTCTTTATGCAGATTGTATGATTCATCGTTCACAGATTTTCAGATTTTCTCTACATTTTTCATGAAAAGTTACTGCGATTTGACTTACAGCTTACTTAAGCATCATGTAACAAACATCTAACATGAATAAATGAAATGAGATTCTCATAACACACCCCATTTGGTTACCAC